TTGCCGAATAATATAATGAATGTTTTTTTTTCTTGATTTCCTTTTTACTTTTTCCTTTTTGGTGGTTTAGTTTTTTATTTATTAGCGTATTTATTAATTAAATGGAAGGAAAAAATTGATAAACACAAAACGCTTAAATAATGTAATATGGTCTTGATATTTGCTGAAAAATTATACAACCTAATCCTTAAAGGTTAATAAACGAAAATTAAGTTTTAATGGCATGATGGGTTATTATAATCCATGACCTCTGTTAAAACTTCAAAACAAAAACACTACAGCCAAAAAAATAAACAGAAAGGATAAAAAACTAAACAAAAGCATTAATTTAAATTTTCTTCAACCTTTATAACTTTTATCTTTAAGAGAAATCAGTGAAGAAAAAAGATAAACCAAAAAAACAATAAAAAAACAAAAGCCACCAAAAAGGAAAAAGTAAAAAGGAAATCAAGAAAAAAAAACATTCATTATATTATTCGGCAACATTCTTCGAACTTCTTATTTAATAATTAATCACCCTTCGCTCAACAACTTAAGGACTAGGAAAAAAAGGGGAACAAGAAAGGCCCAAAGAAGCATTAGTCAAAACTTTTTTTTAATTGTAAAAAAAAAGATAAAAAAGGTTAATCGACAAGCAAAAAGCAACAAAAATTATTAGTAAAAACCAAAAAAACACCATACAAATCTCTACTACATTATTCGACAATATTCCTTAGGTGGAACCTCTTGCAAATATTTTCTGTTATATACCATTTTATACTATAAATTTTATTTGCTAATCCTTTTCAAAGAGAAAGAAAAATTTTCTCAAAATGCCTTAATAAAATCATAGTAATTATTTTCTCCTTGACTAATTTTGTCCAATTCCGTTTCCAAACCTGCCGTATAACCATCATTGATTAGAGAAGCGAAATTTTCTTGTAATCAATTATTAACTGAAATTCCTAAGGGAGTGGGAACGAACTGCCCTTTTTCATTTAACTCAGCATAGCCTCTTTTTAATAGTACCCGACCGAATAAATTATAAGTTGAGGGACGGCCAATTCCCAATTTTTCTAACTCTTGAACTAAACTACCTTCGTTATAACGAACTGGTTTATTTTCTTGGTATTCTTGAACTTCAATTTTTTTGGCTTCGAGTTGCGAAATTGCTTCTAACTCACTCTTTAACTTAACATTATAATTAGGAAAATAAACGGTGGGAGAACAAGCCAAAAATCCAGCAAATTGACAAATTCTTTCCGCCGTGGAAAAGTAATAATTATTATTAAGAAAATTATAAGTAATTTTGTTAACTTGGGCTGGACTCATTAAACTAGCCAAAGTGTGATTATACACTAATTTATATAAACTATATTCTTCCCCCGACAAAGAACTCTTAACATCTTCGGGATGATAATTTAAGTAAGTAGGATGAATGGATTCATGAGCACCCTGAACATTAAGGGTCTTTTCCTTCTTTTTCCAAGCTGGGTTAGTATTAGCATAATCGGCACCTCATTTTGCTCGAATATAATGATAGACCGAAACCATAAATTCTTGGTTAATCCGGGGAGAATCAGTTCGCGGATAAGTAATCAGACCTACTTGTTTTCTTTTGGAACTAATTCAAACTCCTTCATATAGTTTTTGAGCTAGTTGAGTAGTTTGGGATACTGAAAAACCTAATTGGGATTTGGCCTCAAATAATAATAAAGAAGTAATTAGAGGCGGTTTTGGTAAAATAAACTTTTTTTCTTCTTTTTGGCCAGTTAATTGAAAAATTGTTCCCAGTTTTTTTCTAATTTCCTCCGCTTCTTTCTTGTCCTTATAAATAACTAATTCGCCGGTTTCATCAACTTGCTTTAAAGTTATCTTTTGTTCGTTTATTGGGCAAATCCCACAAATAATATAAACTTTTTTCTTTTCAAATTTTTTTATTAATTCTTCTCGTTCAGTAATTAACTTCAAAACCACTGACTGAACCCGACCGGCCGATAAGGCTTGGAGTTTTTTTCGTAGCATTGTACTAAGACAAAAGCCAATCATGCGATCTAGTACTTGTCGGGAAAGTTGAGACTCGACTAAATTTTGGTTGATAGTCAAGGGATTATTTAAGGCTTCTTTAATGCTACGAGGGGTTATTTCGTAAAAAAGCAAACGTTGACATTTTAAGGGGTCTACTCCTAATGATTTGGCAGTTTCTTGAGCGATGGCTTCCCCCTCGCGGTCAGGGTCAGTCGCCAAGTAAATTACCGAAAATTTTTCCCTTCCCAAGTAATTTTTTCAAGAATTAATCAAACCTTTTTTTTCCGCAATTATCTCATAAGCAGGAGTAAAATTTTCTAAATCTACCCCTAAATTATATACTCCGGTCTTCCTTAATTCTCACAAGTGCCCACCTGTGGCAAATATTACATATTCTTCGCCCAAAAAAGACTGAATGGTTTTTTTTTTGGTAGCAGACTCCAAAAATATTAAGCCTTTTTTCATATTCTCCTATAATTTTTTTTACAATTTATGGTTGATGAAAACGGCTAAAAACTAAAAAATGAAGGGAAATGACTATGAAAGAATTTAAAAATTATAATAATGGATGATTTATTATGAAAAGAGTTTGGTTTGCATAAAATTGACTCTGGCTGAGAAAAATTTTTTCACCAAGAAGTTCAAAAAGATTATTTTTTTTCTCTGTTAACCAAACTTGATAAAGAATATAAAAATTATAAATGTTGACCGAGGAAAGAAAATATTTTTCGTCTCTTTCGGGAAATTGCTCCGGATAAAATAAAAGTAATAATCTTGGGTCAAGACCCTTATCATTTGCCAGAAGTGGCAGATGGAATTGCTTTTAGCACTCAAAAACCTAAATATATACCAGCCAGTTTAAAAAATATTTTTTTGGAGTTTGGGCAAGACTTTAATTGTTCTCAACCAACCAAGGGCGATTTACTTCCCTGAGTTAAAGAAGGAGTTTTTTTAGTTAATACTGCTCTGACAGTGCGTGATAATCAGGCTCTTTCTCATATGAATTGATGAAAGGAATTTCTTTATTCTTTATTAACTTACTTAAAAAACCGTGATAAGAAGTTAATTTGAGTATTTTGAGGACAAAAGGCTAAAAAAATTGGGGAGGAATGCCAACTTAATAGTAATTTAAGTTTAATTAGTGCCCATCCCTCTCCTTA